TTTTAAACACTGTCAGTCTCCTGGCTTAGAAGTGGCCAGCAAACTCGGGGATTACTCTTGTCAGTAAGAGCAATAGCTACTTACTAAAAGGTACAAATATCTTCAAAGTACAAGGTACTACTAGTATGCGTGTGCACACTTACGAAATCGATGATCAGAAATGCAAGAAGCTGCTCCTTCTTTTCATCCTGAAAGAAAGAAAAGAGCATAAACAACCCTGGTAGTCCTTCGGAATCGAAGATGTTCAGCATAAGCTGTGGTGCATTTTTATATAACCCCATCCTTTTTTTTTACTCAATTTTCTTGGTAACGAAAGAATTCCCAAATTTCAACAGAGATAGTACTTACCAAGTCGACGATTTGTTCCACCTTGCCAGTAAAGTTGATGATGACATTCTCAGGTGCCAGACTTGCAGTGTAGATTTCCAGAAGCTCGTTTTGCAGCCTTTGTTTATAATGCACTGAAAGAAAATAGGGTTGTAAGAAATATTTTAACACCTCCCAATTCATACATCTCCAAAAATGTCGGTCATTTCACTCCACTGCACACAGAAATCAAACCCAACAATATCCAAAGTAGCATTAATTAGCATTACTTATTATCATTTTTACTGTTTATTTCGTTATCACGTTCTTGCAATTAGCCCTCGGGCATGGATTCGCAATAAACTTTTTAATAGATTATTCTCTGCAGGTAACCTGACCGCATTATGCCTTGCTATTGATTCTATGCGCATGAAATATTCAATCGGTACAGGTGCAGTTATTTCGTCTGTAAGGTCAAAATGAACTATTGATGTGTATATAACTAAAACAAAATTGGCATATTTGAAAAATAGCATATCAAAACTTATCCCTATCTTACACACAACCGGGAAAAATCACGACATAAAAAATGTCAAGTGAGCAATATGCATTTTCTCAAGAATTCTACGTGAGATGTGAAGTTTTCGAGGTATGCAAAAATGAATATGAACCAAAAACTGTGTAGGATTCGGAGGTTAAAGTACGGAAAAAACTCTGTATATTAGTAATGACCTGAACAAACGGGCTTGTCATATTCCCAGATTCCTCCTTCGTTCCCTTCCAGGCATCTCACTTCTCTGGGAGAGCCGTACTCCAGCGTGTAGCCATCGTTGCACGCGTACCGCACTCTTTCTTCCAGGAAGTAGAACCTCTTACTTGGCGTTCTCTTGCCGTAGTTTGGAGGACCTCTGTCCCAGCAGCCAACAAAATCTAAGCGTAGTGATACATGACTTGTAAACACAATGGAAAAAAAATCACTGAATTCAACAAGAGGCAAAACGAACAAGTGCAGGAAAATATAATTTCTAATAATACTGTGATTGCCTTTGATAACAAAAAAAAAGATTAAAAAAGTCAAGTTTCGGACATTCCAAGATCAGTGCATGGGTACCAATGGCATCCTGCGTCGTTATATACTAAATATCACTTACTACAAGTTTAAAAATTGGAATACCCGTTGCAAACTGATGAACAAAACATTCTCATTGTTGACAACTTTTATACATCAGGACACATGTACATCACCCTTTATTCAACCGCGACGGGGGCCAACATCGTCTACACATATGACCCAGTGTTGACGTCACACTTCAAAGAAGCCACGTGACATTAGCTTCACTGGGTCAGTCTACTGAGAAAGACCATAATGACTGGTCGAAAGCTCTAGGTGAGAAAATTTCTTTGTGTTGGATCAAAAGTTTTAACTTTAAACAAGACAACTTACTGGTTGTGGGGTCGTGTGGCGTAGCGGCAGCGTGCTCGACTCGGAACCAAGAGGTCCCGGGTTCGAGTCCTGACATGCCACCGATCTTGTGCCCTTGCGAACCTTGGGAAATGCACTTTACACGACTTTCCTCACTTAACCCAAGTGAAAATGAGTTTTGCTTTGTTCTGTATTCGTCCTCTACGTTGGTGGCGGCATAAAATAAGTTGATATAACTGATGAGTGTGCTGTCACCATGTCTAAGTCATGAAATGTTGGAATAAAAAAATAAATAAAACTTACTGCACGGAATGACGTCACATTCCTCCTGGCTACCGTCTTCAGTCAGACAGAATGGCCGCTGGAGACCGGTGGGGTTGCGACAGTAGTTGTTGTCCAGGTTAGCCCAGGTGTAGTGGTAATCTTGGGAAGCTGACCACTCAAGACAGGTTGCTCCGGATGTAGTCTGACTCCATGTTCCACGGTAGTTGATGCCAATACCATGGTAGCAAACTGAGCAAAATAAGACAAATATGCTTTGCAAGAAACGTACAAAATAGTGCATTACTAAAATAAATATGCTGTATATCTCTATCTAGTTACTTGAGGAACAGTTTCTTGTGTATCTTAGCTAGGCCACACCGACTTAATTTTATGGATGACATCCACGCGCGCATTGATTTTCGCCTGTTCTAAAAAAAAAGATCACGTCCACCGAGGCTCTGGCCTGGCTCTAGGTCTGGGTAGTCCTTGGTAGTTAGCGACAATACTGAGCCGGGCACTACCAAATCTCCACGACTCAAGAACTCAGTACATACATATAAGTGCCGATTCATAAATTCCTCAAAAAGCCAGCATGTGCCGGCTTGTCGGATACGTCGCTAAGTACTGCCACAAATTCACAATACCAGCAATTCCTGTGGTTTAGTAGCATTTTTATTTTTGGCCGGATTTTTTTATTCGCCCGCGCGCACTAGTTTGGGAGTCTCCAGAGGATGTCATCCATAAAATTAAGGCGGTGTGGCCTTACTACCTGGATCTTTAACCTTAATTGACGTGTGCTATACATGTATATAGCAAGCTAACGTCGCAGCAATGAAATGCTTTAAATGGTCACGGTTGGTAACATAAGCACAACGTTTATAAATAACATATAAAGTATGTAGGTAACTCGGATGTTCTCATCATCCAAAAGTGGTTAAACACCAACTTTTCACAATAAAACTATTGTATGAAGTTCTTAATCTTCAACCAGATTCTGTTACACTGACCTCCTGTATTCATTGACCTAGCCTTGGTGCCATCCGATTTGTAATGCCCTGTCTGCCAGCCAAGTTTACGGGCCGCTAGCCGTTTCAATTCGGCAGCCAGAAGCCCTTCGCCCGCACACCTAAATTACCACTGCAGTGGCATTGAGCCCGTGGGGAGGTTTCGGCCAAACTCCCCCCGGGGCCGGGGCCAGACTCCCCCGTAGCAGTAAACCGGCCAGCGGGCGAAGGGCTCTTGCGGCCCGGAAAACGAGTTCTGGCTTCCAGGGTAGATTTGTAACGGGAACCCCGATTTTTTCGGGGTTGCCGTTACAAATCGGATGGCACCCAGGCTATCATTTACCCACGTGGGACGACCAATGGATACAGGCGGCCAATATAAGACTCCCCTTGTCCCACAGAATCTGCTTGGAGATTATGAAGTTCTGACCCCCACCTTCTGTGCGCTTCACAGCAGGTTCAGTGTTCCAACAGCCGTCTTGTGATGATGGGAACACGTCACAAGGAGGCAGCAAGTCCTTCATCAGGTCACCAGTCATACTGAACACTTCTTCACACCAGGAACGGCACGGCAGCAGCTGGGTACCCCTGGGGAAACAACGACATTCAGTAACAGCCATTGACGGCACGCTACTGTTTAGGATCGCAGTCCTTAGGACGGGATGTTAAGCCGTGGTCCACTGTTCATTGTGCTTGTCGAAAAGAGCTGGGGGAATTTCCCCGGTACAATGAACCAGTAAATACTGTACATAGCGTCTGTCTTCTCTGTCACGACCAGTGGAAGATTAGCTCTTCTAAACTGGCTCGAGATCAATTCACTTTCACATAGAGCACTGGGAGGACCTGGCCAATGACCTACAACCATTTTCCACATCGCCTTTTGCCTTACAGATATCAATATGCTATAGGAATGGTTGATCCATCTAAAACATTACACTTTACTTCAAAATGAATGACCAGAAAATACAATACTAAATGCAATTCTATTGTCCTGAAATCGCTTTGCATTTAATTAACACCAAACAAAATGTAGTTCTATTCTTATAAACATGAGTATCATAGTTGCAGATGAGTGTTACTATGCATCAATGGCTGATGGTCAATATTCCACGGAAAAAATAACTGGTCATACCATACGCAGCTGAGATCATTGCCACAGTTTCTCATCTACTTCAAAAGATATATATGCCTACTCACACGCACGAAGTCGAAGCGTTTGAAGACGCACGCAAAGGACAGTGGGACATGTCCTCCTCGTTGCATCTTGGGAAGATGATGGAAGAGACGAATTCTCGCCACTCCGGATGGTGTCTCCCCGGAATGTTGTAGGAACTGTTGAAAAGTTCCATGACGGGGGAATTTCGGATCTCGTCGAAAGTCGTCTGGTTCAGCGGGTTGGGTAACATTGTGAGCCTGCTGTCGAGCGGGAAAACCTCCGGGATTTGTAGACACACTGAAAAACAAGAATTCTGAGACTCCATACCTCCATGAAATATGTAGAGTTTATGTAAATGTTTTGTTTCATTGAATATGGAAATTAGGTGGCAATTGATATTATATAGTTTAATTTGTGGTGTTCTAAACTCAACTTACAATATTTTGCGTGTCAAACTCCTATCCTTTGGCAATATTTCATTTAAACATCCTCATTTAAACTTCCTCATTAATTATGCAAATTGCATCTATATTAACATAATATATGCATAGTGTTGTTAACATTAACATTTAAGTAACCTACATATGTCACAAGGTACAGAATTGCCATCATTCACCATTAAGAAATCATATAATTTTTGCAATAATTATGCAAATTAGGTCATCATTTGCATAATTAGTATCTGTTGACATTCTATCTGCCATAGATTACATATATTACATGTATGAAAGTACTATAATGTAAAACACTGTAATTATAGAATTTTCTCATTAATTATGCGAATTAGGTCCTCATTTGCATAATTTGCATTTAATCGTGTACATCTCTCTCTCAGCTACCTACCTACCAAAAATGATGAAAATATGTTGTTCCTATCTGGACTTATTGGCTTTTAAAGATTTCGCCCGAAAGTCCCCTGCAGTTCCAAAACAAGCTGGTAGGGGGACCAAACCCACACCACTTATTTCTGACAGGAAAAGCTATCTGTCACCAAAAAGTCAAGACCATAGCATGTTCAGAACAAAAGATACAAAAACCGGAAGTTCTGCTGCAGTACCAAGGTCATCCACCAGGAGGCCCATATTTGACCTTGACCTTCGTCTTCCTAAGACTGCAGCATGACATCGATAGTATTTGTAGTTGGGAGAAGGAGTGGTTGATGGCCTTCAACCCATCTAAATGTGAAGTGATGACCGTCCCCTCTTCTAGGAACCCAATATCGTTTCCCTATTCTCTCCATGACCACGTTTTAACCAAGGTAAGTACCACCAAATATCTTGGTGTCTCCATCTCCTCAAACTTGACCTGGGGCAGACATGTCGATTTAGTTACAGCGAAAGCAAACAGAACCTTAGGAATGTTAAGACGCTGCCTGCGAATCTCAAGCAATGCGGCAAAGGAGAGAGCTTACATGGCTCTTGTAAGACCCTCCTTAGAGTACGGCTGTAGTGTCTGGGATCCCCACACCAAGGACCAGGTGAGTAGGGTGGAGATGGTCCAGCGTAGAGCTGCCCGTTTTGTCAGCAGTGACTACAGACGTACAAGTTCTGTTACAACTATGTTGCAAAACCTGGGCTGGCAGTCTCTGGAAGTACGCCGGAGAATCGCCCGCCAGGTCATGTTTTATAAGATTATACATAATGCTGTCTCCGTCCCACACTCAACCAGGATTGTCCCGGTGGCTCGATGCTCCCGCCGCATCAATCACACTCAAACATTGCAGGCCATCGCGAGCAGAACCAACTTCTACAGGCTCTCGTTCTTCCCCCGTACCATCAGGGAATGGAACGAACTTGAGCCTGGTGCGGTGGAGGCGGGGTCTCTCGCCCAGTTCAAATCTGAACTGGCGAGGACCCTGCTGCATTGAGTCACCCCATCATGTCTTGTATATATGTAAATATTACTAACGCACTAATGCACTTGTCCTGTCTTTAGCACATACAAAATCAGTTGTCTTATGTTCCTTTCTCAGTTATCCTTGTTTTTCCCTTTGTTTTTTTTTTATGTACCGGGCACAAATGTTACTAACAATGCGTAACGACTGCCAATAATACTACTCTGTAGTGCTGGGCAGTAATGAAGAAGAAGAAGAAGACTTACCAACATACCAAATATCATCACAATCCATAAAGGCATTCTGAAGTTATGATGACCACAAAGTTGCGGAAACACACACAGACACACACACACACACACACACACACACACAGACACACACACAGACACACACACAGACGCGCCAAAACAATACCTCCATTTTTCATGGGGGTAAATATCAAATGCATGGCTGTCATTTGATGTCAACTGTAGCTACATGCAGTGCAGAACGGAAAGGATGGAAAACAGAACTTTTTGGTTATAAGAAAATATATTTGATAGGCTTAGACGCGCGTGCTAGCCAGCAAATGAAGCTGTGGATTCTGAATGAATGAGTATGATTGGAAAAGTATATTATTGAGTCTTGCAACTACACGCTAGCCTGGATACCAAACCTATTTTAGCTCCCGAGTACAAAATTGTCTGCGGAGAGGATGCTGGTAGGACTCGGGAGCTAAAATAGGTTTAGTATTATAAACCAGGCTACTACACGCCGCCCAGCCCTAATTTTGCTTAGCTCCTATAGTTACCAGGCTTCGGGAAGCGGGTACGAACGTTACAACTTACCGCATCCCTCCTCGTCAGTGCCGCCCGGGCAGTCTGCGATCCCGTTACAACGCTTCCAGTACGGTAGACAGATGTGCAGCTCTCTACAGACGAACTCCCCACGAACGCATTCTGAAAATGGCGACGTATATTCTGTAAGTAGGATGACTCTATCCATACATATACATGTGTTTAGCTTTGTTCGATCTTAGTTGTACGTAGTAGACCATACGAAAGACCCCGTACTTTTGTCAATTAATAAAGAATGAAGAATCTCTCTAACTCTCCTCTTTATTTTCTGTCTTTTCTAATGTCTTTCCTAACAGCAAAACCGTCTCTCGTAATACATTTTGACGGTCAACACGACTGTGTTGAAGATTAGTCCTTGGTCGAAAAAAAATGAGTTACTTTATGATTATTTATGAAGCTTCGAGGATTTACCACATTTGTCGAAGCAGATAAAAGATACACACATGAAAAGGAAACATGAAATCTTACGTATACAGATTGGAACCTTACCGCAGAACGGCACATGACAATAACCCCATCTCGTGTCCGGATCCGTGGTGTAGCACCAAACTGTGGGCTCGGCATCCGGATTCCGGCAGTAGTTCTGCTCCAGTCCGGATGACGGATAGTTCTCGGCTGTCCGGTGGTGGTCGTGCGGTGTCTGACTGTCCCAGCGCTGACACGTCGTGCCAGTTACGGTAACAGAGACTGTCCCTCGGTAGGATGTCCCATCTCCTTCCATACAGTCATCGGCGGGTAGGTCTGTAGGTGAAAAATGCCATGTATGTCAGAAGGAATTACGTTTCATACCCATATAGTCAGAAGGAATTACGATTTCTTGTTTTTCCCTTAAGCTTTTTTCTTCCAATTTGAGGATGAATATTTCCAGGTGTAAAACACATTATATTCGTTTTAATGCCAAATGGATTAAGGTTGGGCAATTTACCATGAAGTTGCTACAAAAGTGTTATAGCGTGACTCAGTTACATTCATACGTATATGTTGGAATTATGGCAACTGCCTTTGGGGGCAGATAAAAGAAAATAATTTTAAAAAAACTCGCACAGTTTTTGCCTCTCCGATGTATTTTATTATGTGACAGAATCTCTTTCACAACGCCAACAGGTGGTATACATGGCATAACTCATAACTAGAATGGCACGAAGGGCATACCTAATCAACATAGCCTGGATGCCAGAGACCCATAACACGCAACCAGGGGTTGGTAGAAAAAAGAGTCCAGTCCGATCGGCGGAAAAAGCAGTCCAGTCACTATCGGACTTTTTCCACCCCCAAATTGGACTGGACTACTTTTTCCGCCGATCGGACTGGACTCCTTTTTCCACCAACCCCTAGGCCCAGAGATAGCCAGCGTTTGTGGCATAATGATTCCTTGGGGGCATGTTGGCCCTGAAGTCGAGGAACTGGCCTACATGTATGTAAGCCATAGACACAAGCCGCGTTTAAGTGAAATCACCCAAGGCGGTTTACATGTGGTTTACCCCGAAGCTGGTTTCATGTGGCTCCATGTGAACGCTCCGAAATCACATTGAAAGCGCCTCGATCCCAAGCCACTTCTAGAGGTGGTTTCGAATCGGTTTCTCCGCATCGCGATTTGCGTCTGAACGCAATGTGATTTCAATGTAACTTTGCCTGGTCATGGATTACGGGGTGATATTTCTTTATTTATATGCAATACGTGGCAGCAACTTAAAGAGCAGTAATGGTCAAATAATGTGTCCGTTCTAGGGCGAGCTTCACCGCCTCTGGCGGGACCACGTCGGCATTCGGCCGAGATATGCTGGGAGGGGGGGCATCGGCAAGCAGGTCGTTGACCTCTGACATTAATAACACGCCACCTTGCATGTTATCATCAACAGAAATAAATGTAGCTCAAGCGAATTGTGATCGGACACGGTTTCACCAGATGTGAGGAATGTGAGTTACCCGAATCGCGGTTTGGGTGACTTCACTTAAACACGGCCACAGTCTGGCAGCCACGCTAAATTAACTTACCAAGCATGTACAGGCTTACCCTATGGCATATTTTAGTTACTGTCGGCATCAAATATTTAAAGGGTATTTGAAGACCTTCCCTGTTAATTTGATTGGTTAGCTTGATTGAAACTTTAACTGCATTATTGGAATTCAACTGACAGTCACCAATCTTACAAATATAGTGTCATACCACAATTAGTAAACTAAGGTGTAGCCTAAATGTGTTGAGTGAGCAGTTTGATATACATGTAACTTCATAAAATTCAGCAACAAAACTAGTTGATACATCTATTGTGACTGATGCTGTTAGAGATTTTCATGACAAATCCAGGCATATATACAGTATGTATAAGATTGAAATTTGTCCGCAAGTTGTATCAACATCACTGACAATCATTTGTGTATACTATACTGGAATCTAATTCAGTTTGCACATAGGACCTCCCTTTTTGACATAGATATCATATGAACTTTCAAAACAGGCACAAATGATCACCTAAAACCATACATCATCATCATCATCATCATCATCATCATCATCAAAACCATACTTTTAAACTTTTCCCTGCTGAAGTAGCTTTTTGATGCCAAATTTGCATTGGCCATGGTGTCAAGCAGAGGGAGAAGGTAGAACATAAAAAAACTTGAACCAGGCAAAAAACTTGATGCACAATTTTTGACGACAGATTTCTACATATTAATCTCAGTGATTTCAATATAATAAATGCACATAGACTTCTCAAAATGTGCTCTTGACCAATGATTATACTAAGTGTAGTTGATTTCTTCACAATGATTGCTCAACAATAAACCTATGCGTACAAGACAATGTAAAGAAGCAATGTATTACTATGTATTATCTTGAAAGTTCATCTGTGTTGGTAGAAGTCACTATGCAGCAAGTTTAAACTGTAACTTCCAACACAAGAAATTGGACTCACCCAAATTTTCGACTGTACAACTCCAGTCTTTGTCAAGGAATGAGCAATCCACCGCTTCCGTGACGTCACGCAGATAACACACATGACAAGACTTTCTGCAACCTAAGATCCACTGCTCACTGAGTCACGTGTGTTATTTGCGTGACAACACGGAAGCGGTGGATTGTTCATTCCTTGACAAAGACTGGAGTTGTACAGTCGAAAATTTGGGTGAGTCCAATTTCTTGTGTTGGAAAATACAGTTTAAACTTGCTGCATATACTAAGTATACTAATAAATTCACACATCTAAGTCATCTACGACATACTAGAGATGAGATTTTAGAGGGCACCTCTTAAAAATATGTCTTTAAATAAGTAGTAAATTCCATAAACTGTTCTTAAGGTGGTGGGACCAAATTATCAAATTGACCAATCAAAAGGTCAAACCCATTTTTCCTTGGTCGTTCGACATCATGAATTACAGTAAATCATACTTGTTTGGCACCATGGAAAAATTGAGGATCATTAAAAACAGTGGATTCGACACTTCTTGTATCATTAAGTTGCATGGAACTGAGGAAAGTTCCATGTGGCGTGTTTCTTTCTTTTTGTGCAAACTTTGTTGTAAAATATCAGGATGAGACCACATATACAGTAGTTTGTATGTACATTCGTAGTAAGCTGCTTTGTACATACATCTTTCAAACTCTAGGTCCTTGGGGGCAGATAAAAGAAAATAATTTTAAAAAAACTCGCACAGGACATATTACAAGTGCAGCAATCACCCAAGCTTACAGAACCGAATCTTACCGCAGGTTGGAACATCACAGTACTCCCATTTCGTCTCGGGATCCAGGGTGTAGCACCAAACTCTCGGCTCAGCCCCGTCTGGGTTCCGGCAGTGGTTCTCCGGCTGCTGCCCTAGCCTGTGTTGATTCCGTGTATAGCCAGGGTTAAAGCCGTGTCCATGCGGAATCTGACTGTCCCAGCGCTGACACGTTTTGCCCGATTCGGTCACAGAAACGCTTCCTCGGTAGGATGCCCCGTTCCCTACTGCACAGTCTTCGTCGGCTAGGCCTGTAGGTAAAGAAAATTGTATTTACATATGCATGCATGTCAGACGCAGGCTACATACCATGATAAACAAGAACAGAACTTCCCTTTATCCTATAACAGTGTGGGAACCTCTGTAAGGAACAGGAGGAACAAATAAAACCCTTCTGGTCCCGGTGTTGAGCCAAATCCTTGAGCTGCCACATACGTGAGAGGTCAGGTGCTTAGGGCTAGGGCTAGGGCTAGGGTTAGGGTTAGGGTTAGGGTTAGGGTTAGGGTTAGGGTTAGGGTTAGGGTTAGGGTTAGGGTTAGGGTTAGGGTTGGGATCATTGTTCATGGCTAGAGTTAGACTTACGATTGGGGTTAGGTTAGGTTTAGTCTTCCACATCACGACTAAACCCCTCCCACCCCTTGTCCTAGGTATATTGGAAACCCCCAAGTAGTGTCAGAGTCATGTATTTGGCAGGATCATGTATTTGGCTTGACACCGGGCCGGGGTTTGAACCCACGACCTCCCGAGCACCAGCTTCATAACCAGACGCTCTAACCGCTCGGCCGAAAAGGTCTAGACCCATCGACCGGGTCAGTTGGTAGCGCCTATAAAACCCCCACTGTTACAATCCTATAAAATACAAGATACTAAAATACTAGAAAATGAGAGAGGGTTGCTTCGTATTGCTACAGCGGTTCTAGATTCTACACCAGGTCCTATTCTTTATTTTCCAACCATATGCACGCCCCGAACATTGCAGACCTACATCAAGGACATTATACACACTGTGTATAATGTCCTTGCCTACATGTACTCACATCCACAATTAACTCAACCAGTCCCCAACCACGGCCCAACCTCTCGTCCGCTACTCTACCGGATGTTGTTAACATTTTCAAACGTAACCTGCTAGCCAAATTCGCTGAACACCAACTAAACAACCAACCAACCATTGAACCACAACCAAACTCTCGACCTACTCCCATCCATGGTTGGGGGGGAATTCGGCTGTCTTCGGGACGCCCAACGTGTTGACAGTGGCTTGAGGTACATTTCCTACCTGAAACAAACAGCAAACAGGCGATCCCAACGAAGAGAAGTCCACCTCCCATCACTGCACAGTGGTGCCCGGCTGCACCTGTGGTCAAGTTGTCTCCGCTGATGGAGTTAACTTCTTGCTACACCACGAAGTACAAATGTACGACAGAGCTCTTCGTCAAAGGCATGTGCCTCCTACGCACTACACACAGGTTTTGCCTCTCAGAGTTGTAATGTATTTTATTATGGAACAGGATCTCTTCTTCCCCAACGCCAACAGGTGGTATACATGGCATAACTCATAACTAGAATGGCACGAAGGGCTTACCTAATCAACTTAGCCTGGATGCCAGAGACCCATAACACGCAACCTGGGGTTGGTAGAAAAAGGAGTCCAGTCCGATCGGCGGAAAAAGCAGTCCAGTCACTACCGGGCTGCTTTTTCCATCCCCAAATCGGACTGGACTGCTTTTTCCACCGATCGGACTGGACTCCTTTTTCCACCAACCCCTAGGCCCAGAGATAGCCAGCGTTTGTGGCATAATGATTCCTTGGGGGCATGTTGGCCCTGAAGTCGAGGAACTGGCCTACATGTATGTAAGCCATAGACACAAGCCGTGTTTAAGTGAAATCACCCAAGGCGGTTTACATGTGGTTTACCCCGAAGCCGGTTTCATGTGGCTCCATGTGAACGCTCCGAAATAACATTGAAAGCGCCTCGATCCCAAGCCACTTCTAGAGGTGGTTTCGAATCGGTTTCTCCGCATCGCGATTTGCGTCTGAACGCAATGTGATTTCAATGTAACTTTGCCTGGTCATGGATTACGGGGTGATATTTCTTTATTTATATGCAATACGTGGCAGCAATTTAAAGAGCAGTAATGGTCAAATAATGTGTCCGTTCTAGGACGAGCTTCACCGCCTCTGGCGGGACCACGTCGGCATTCGGCTGAGATATGCTGGGAGGGGGGGCATCAGCAAGCAGGTCGTTGACCTCTGACATTAATAACACACCACCTTGCATGTTATCATCAACAGCAATAAATGTAGCTCAAGCGAATTGTGATCGGACACGGTTTCACCAGATGTGAGGAATGTGAGTTACCCGAATCGCGGTTTGGGTGACTTCACTTAAACACGGCCACAGTCTGGCAGCCACGCTAAATTAACTTACCAAGCATGTACAGGCTTACCCTATGGCATATTTTAGTTACTGTCGGCATCAAATATGTAAAGGGTATTTGAAGACCTTCCCCGTTAATTTGATTGGTTAGCTTGATTGAAACTTTAACTGCATTATTAGAATTCAACTGACAGTCACCAATCTTGCAAATATAGTGCCATACCACAATTTGTAAACAAAGGGGTAGCCTAAATGTGTTGAGTGAGCAGTTTGATATACATGTAACTTCATAAAATTCAGCAACAAAACTAGGTGATACATCTATTGTGACTAATGTTTTTAGAGATTTTCATGACAAATCCAGGCATATACAGTATATATAAGACTGAAAAAACATTTAAAAAGTTCAGATAAAATTCTGTATTCGTCCACAAGTTGTATCAACATCACTGACAATCATTACCTTCGCCAAGAAGGTTATGTTTTCGTAGGCGTTCGTGTGTGTGTGTGTCTGTCTGTCTGTCTGTCTGTCTGTAAACACGATAACTTGGGAAGGCTTCAATGGATTGACTTCATATTTGGTAGGTGGGTAGGTCTTGATAAGACCTCGAAATGATTAGATTTTGGGCCCCCTAGCGGCTTTTTATGGTACTGCAGCTGAACTTCCGGTTTTGATATCTCATGATCTAGACATGCTAGGGTCACGAAATTTGGATGGTAGGTAGGTCTTGTGCTGGGGAACAACTGACATAGGTTTGGGCCCCCTAGCGGTTTGCTCAGGAACTGCAGGGCCATTTCTTTGAAAATATTCATAAGAGGATAACTCAAGAACCGGAGGACGGATCTTCATGATTTTTGGTATGTAGGAAACTTAAGTGACGCTTGACATAATTATGCAACAATTATGCAAATCTGGATGTGATTTGCATAATTAATGAGGAAATTCTATAAATCAGCTGCATTACATTATAGGACTATTCAAGCTTGTGACATATGTAATTGAGAACGAGAGAAACACAGGAAGTTTTTGATTATGTAAATTAACTCTTAATTTGCATAATTAATACGAAAATGTTATAATTCCATAATGGTAACTGCCTAGAATTTTATACTTGGGGTATTTGAAAGTTAAGTGAAGGTGAACATCATTAAACATAACTTATTCAAATAAGGACCTCATTTGCATAATTTATGAGGAAATGGTAGAATGGTTTTCTTTGTTAAGATAAGGCTGTCTTTTGTTGGAGAATATGATCAACTGATATAATTCATGCAAATGAGGATCCTATTTGCATAATCAGGAGGAATAATCTTTACTTTGTCATGAAGATTAACATCATTTGGCGAAGGTATGAGATCGTGGAACTCTAGTTTGTGTATAGTACTGTATACTATACAGGAATCTTATTCAGTTTGCACAAAGGACCTCCCTTTTTGACATAGATATCAAATGAGCTTTCAAAACAGGCACAAATGATCACCTAAAACCATACTTTTGAACCAGGCAAAAAACTTCATGTACACTGTTTAATGGTAGATTTCTACATAATCTCATTATACAGTGCTTTCAATATAATAAATGCACATAGACTTCTCAAAATGTGCTCTTGACCAATGATTATACTAAGTGTAGTCGATTTCTTCACAATGATTACTCAACAATAAACCTATGCGTACAAGACAATACAATGAAGCAATGTATTACTAAGTATTATCTTGAAAGTTCTGTGTTGGTAGAAGTCATTATGCAGCAAGTTTAAACTGTAATTTCCAACACAAGAAATTGGACTTACCCAAATTTTCGACTGTGCAACTCCAGTCTTTTGGATCAAGAAATGAACATTCCACCGCTTCCGCGACGTCACGGTGATTGTTCATTCCTTGACAAAGACTGGAGTTGTACAGTGGAAAATTTGGGTGAGTCCAATGTGTTGGAAATTACAGTTTAAACTTGCTGCATATTATTTAGTATACTGATAAATTTACACATCTAAGTCATCTATGACATACTAGAGATAAGATTTTAGAGGGAACCTCTTAAAGTCTTTAAATAATTAGTAAATTTCATAATCTGTCCTTAAGGTGGTGGGACCAAATTATCAAATTGACCAATCAAAAGGCCAAACCCATTTTTTTCCTTGGTCTTTAGACATCATACATAGTAAATTATACTTGTTTGGCACCATGGAAAAATTGAGGATCATTAAAAACAGTGGATTCAACACTTCTTGTATCATTAAGTTGCATGGAATCGAGGAAAGTTCCATGTGGCATGTTTCTTTCTTTTTGTGCAAACTTTGTTGTAAAATATCAGGATGACACCATATATAGTTTGTATGTACACATTCTTAGTAAGCTGCTTTGTAGATACATCTTTCAAACTCATTTCTCATATAGGAATAATTTCTTAAGGCCACACCAATTTAATTTCTTGGTTGATGGATTTTTCTAGAAAAATAATGGAGCGGGCGGGCGAAAAATTAAAAACAGGCCTAGGCATCCTATTATGGCCCTAAATGGTAAGATAGGAGCCATGAAGTCAACACATCAGGCTGGTTCAAAATTTAAACAATGAATTTTTAACTTTTAATGATACCACTGCATTGATAGATGGAATAACTGTAACAACTAGGAAGAAAAAGGACTGTTTTCAACTGTTGAGGTCAAAATATGAGCATTTTGCATTTGATTCTGAATTTTTATTTTTATTTGCAAATCAGAAAAAAATGAAGCGGGCGAATTCGTTAACCAAGAAATTAAATTGATGTGGCCTTAAATATGATTGACATTCTGATGAGGTTAGTTGTGTTAGTAGTCTTGAATCATTTTTTTATCCAACCCTAGAGGGTTTGCTGTTGTTAGTCTAAAACAGAAACGTTCTACTCACTCTCTTACTCAAATGCTAACAATTGCTACAAAAAGTGTTAGGAAAACTACTGGATGATGATGGTACAATTTTAAGTAGATAAGTGTACTTCATTCTCCAAATTGGCAAGAGAAGCTCATAAGAATATGTTTAGGATGTATTTCTTAAAAAGACAATATTTAATGCCTCCCCACACCTTAATTAAATGCATGTCTTCTTTCACGACTAATTCTACATTTTTCTGCATTCCTGTGTAATGTAATATTAAAATTTCAACCTTGAAAAATCAATTTTCCTGTGTGAAATTATTTTACCCTGTCATTTCAGGATCTCAATCTCCTCTTACCGCAAAAAAAATCCTGACATAACACATCAATTTCTGTCAACATGATGACTTTAATTGAACAATGATAAACTTGATGTGAATTCGAAGGCTAACCGACATCTTGTACACGCAGTCGTCCCTCAGTAAGACATCTGGAGCCACATAGTTCCCGTTTAGAACTTTTATTCAGCCTGTCACACGACCGGTTTCGCCTGTGTGGCTTCTTCAAGTGTACAGAGGCTAAATGACACAAGTGTGTGAGAGGCTAAATAAAAGTTCTAAACAGGAACTATGCAGCTCCAGGTGTCTTACTGAGGGACGACTGCGTGTGCGAGATGTCGGTTAGCTGAGGAATGAATCCCCTCGAATTCACAATGATAAACTTTTGAGCCAGAGATAAAATATACTTTAAGTTTCCCACATTAGAGTTACAAACGGGTGGTTTCTTATCACTTGTGATTTTCCTTGGTCTTTTTCGCTTTTCCAAAGTAGCTGTCCCCCGCCAGCCCAGAGAACACCAGTAGTACGCCCAGCCACTGACGCGGAAGCATCGGGTTCTGGAAGATGATGACCGAAGCGAGGATCGTGAAAAACTTCCGCGTGGTCGTGATGATGGAACAGGTCAGCGGGCCGAAGTTTGTCACCGTCACGAAGATGAACAGCTGGAGAGGAAAGATAAAAAAGAAAGCTGTTATATAGAAATAGAATTTGGATAATGTATTGCAGAGATGTACACTTTCTTCTTTTCATCATCTATGTATATTTGCAAATGACTATATCTATGTTGTATGTTAATACAATGTAGGTCTCTCTCTCTCCTATATATTAGATATCAGATGCTTTTTAATTTTAAGTATTAATGGCTATTACTAGTATCAGATAACTAAAGGCTGTTAAAAATATTGTCGGGGAACTTATGTATGTAACATTACTTAATTTGAGGAAAGTAGTAACTTATAGGTGGGGAACCTAAAATTCTGATGGGCAACCTAATTTTTGCCGTAGGTTGCCCACTGGACAACCTGGTTCAAAAAAGTATTTTGTACACTGAAATGTATATCATTATGATGCATAAGAGCACTGTTGCTAAATGTTTCATATATGGACAAAAAAAATGATGGTGCCATTTTCTCATAGATTTTGCATGTGTTGCTTTCAACTGAGAAAGTAAACTAGAAAACCAGGCATTGGAGACTGTAAACCACCAGCAAAGCAGCATGCTTTTGACACCTGCAGTTTGAAAACAAGCTGCTAGGGGACCCAGATTCCTTCTTACCTGTCCCAGTGCACTGGTGAGTGAGAAGATAAACATGTTCCCCAGGACGTATGGATACTTCTCCAGGAACTTCAGGAATGAGAAGACCTCTCCTGTCACTCCGATGCCTGCAGAAATGAAATAAAGAAACTCTTGTACATTTGTACATGGAACATCAACAACAAACAAGAACAAATCAAAGATCACACCTCTGAGAAGTATCAAGAAGCCATTTTCACCACCAAATTGACCTTCTTGTCAGTCTGTGGTTACATCATTTCCTCCCACACTTCCTGAGACTCTATTGTATTCCAATAATTGTGGCGTCCGGTGGTGTAGTGGTTAGAGCGTCCGGGAGACCCGACGTTGTGCCCTTGGGAAAGGCAGTCTTTACATGAATTTCCTCACTCCACCCAGGTGTGAATGGGTACCTGACTTTGGTTGGGGAAAGTCGTATTGAAGTCACCTGGCAGCAAATTGCTGCCGTATAGACCCTTGCGACAGTTCCACAAAAATTTGTGGAACAAATATGTGTATCATGTGTATTATTTGATTGTTGTGATTTGTCTTGGTTATTATGTAATACCCTGCATCAATTCAGCCGTATAAAGACTGTGACTGCACGGGTACTGTTTGGACAATAAAACCCATTTATTATAACTATGGACAAACAAACAAACACATCGAAAACAAAACCTCTGTCAATGGAGGTAATAATATACCAACAAATACTTGATTTTTGGATATTGTTTCACTAGGCTCTCTTTTACCTTAAGGGGGACAGTTACCCAACAAAAATGATGGAGCTTTATGCCATTAATCTACTTTTAATGTTCTACCTACCACTTAAGTACCAGACAAAGTCAGGAATGTTTTATGCTGAAGATTTTCAAAGTAGAAATGTTCTACTTGTAACAGAGCCCAAACTTACAGACAGCCAGTATGCCGATGGACCAGAAGTTCATGTTGTACATCATGTGGTGAGAGTTGGTCTGGTGTTCACCTCGCATCTTCTCCTGGGACACTCCTGTCAGACCATCCATGGTCAGGGACGCTAACTGTGAAAAAAAAAACAGAGATGGCTGACTTCATTCCCTTACCCATACTGTTTTTGTGGCCCTTCCAGTAGTGATGCATACCGGTTCACTGGACTTGGATCTGGACTTGTAAGAATGTTTAGGTTCAAGTCCAAAAAAACCTAAAAGTCAAGAACCGAGTCCTTCTCTACCTTCCGTAGATTGCAAAATCTTTGCTGCAAAATGAAGAAAACATTGCCATCGGGCATCGTCAAGTACTGGCCTCCATGTTATGTGGCCAAAGTTTCACCCAGACAACATTGCAAGGTTGCCAACATGCAATTTTGTATATGCCATGGGTTTAGGTCCGGACTTACAAGTCTGGAACTGAACCTAAACCTCTGGACTTGAATCCGGACCTGAACCTAAAATTGGGTTTAGGTATGCATGCATCACTACCTTTCAGTGCCCAGACAAAACTAGCAGCATTGAGTATGTATGGTTATGCTGCATTGCATAAATGAATAGCAGAAACACACACCATCACACAAGCCAAAAACAATAGATCTCTTTCTTTGCTGTGCAACTACATATTGTACATGTAAATTTAATGTGTTCAAGGCTCTCACACATAGCTTCATGGGGAAAGCAAGTTACACGATATCAGTATAATAGTTTGAAGGTTTCTTCTTGATCGAACTGACGTAACTGACGAATGGAAATCTTTCTTGAGAAAGAAAACCAAAGCAATGTTACTTACTGGCATTATATGTTAACAAGCTCCATGAAAAATAAATAAACTAGAAAAGTAACATTTGCAAAGCAACTGCATAATGTTTACCTTCCCATTATGGTCTGCTCTGTTAATTTTTACTCAAGCACATTCATATATATGGTGACAGGCGTCTAAATCCCTCCTACTATAAAACTGCAACATGATGTAACTCAACACCAGTTACCATGGTGAGAGACCATCTGGTTCAGGTCTTTGACCAGGTTAGAGGTCACTGTTTGGAGAAGAAGAAGAAACTGAGCAAAAACAATATGTTTTCCTTCGGTAAACATAATAAAGGCAGTGCCTTTAAAACAAAGGGTTTCCTCGACTTCTTACCAAAAGAATTTCTCCCCAACCAAAAACGTGGTCGTCAGCCTTTGCCTGCACATTGTCCTTGTAGACAAAGATGGCCACCCCTGCCACGATCAGCAACACAAACAGGTACTTGGCGAGCGGGTATCTTTTCCTGGCCAGCAGAACTCCCAAGATCAGCACTGGGATAGGTTTACATGACTTCCCTAATACCTGTGGAGAAGGAAAGGTAAAGTACATGTACTGTAGGTCAACATCAGAGCATGATATAGTTGAGATGAAAGTGAAAGTGATCTCGAGCCAGTTTAGCTCACTGAAGAGCTAATCCTCCACTGGTCGTGACAGAGAAGACAGACGTTATGTACAGTATTTACAGGTTCATTGTACCGGGGAAATTTCCCTAGCTCTTTTTGAAAAGCGCAATGAACAGTGGACCATGGCTTAACGTCCCATCCTAAGGACTGCGACCCTAAACAGTAACATGCATGTCAGGTGAGCGACAACAGCCGGGATTCGCACTCCCAACCTCTTAGTCCAGAGGCAGGATCGCTAACCACTGGACTACGCACGCACGAACAGTTATGTGATGCTTTTTCGATAGCCAGTAGTGCTTATGGTTGTGCCATGTCTTGAATTTTTAGATCTACGTTTTACATAACTAAAACTAGAAAAGTATAGGGAATAGCTTAAAAATGTATGTAATGATTTATGCTACATTGCTTCCCCTTACCTGTGTGGGTTAGTTAACGTGTTGTAGGGGCTGGTTGATATTAATCCTTACCTGTTTAGGGTAGTTAACATGTTGTAAGGCCTGGTTAATATTAACGTTAACCTTTACCTGTGTAGGGTAGTTAACATGTTGTAATGCCTGGTTACTAGCCAGCATGGCTCCCATGTAGGTAGTTGCACATATTCCATAAAGCCAGTTTGGTGTAGTGTCCTTGACACCAGGGGCTGCAAAGTAACACACTGCAACAAAAATGATAACATGAGAATTTAATACACTGCAATCATATAAAAATATGCAACATGGGGTCATGTGGCGCGTTCGGCTCACACCCAAGAGGTCGCGGGTTCGAATCCTGCCCATGTCACTGATCTTGTGCCCTTTCCTCACTTCACTCAGGTGGAAATGAGTACCTAGCTTCGGTTAGGGATGTCGGTTAGGACGTTAAATGGAGGTCCCGTGTTTGGGAAGAGCCACACCCCACACACTCTAATCAAAAAGAGTAGGGGATCTTCCCGGTGTGAGTGGTTCAAATATTACAGTCCGGTCTTACGCAGCTTGTACATGTACGTACATGTATAAAACTGGTGTGTTACGCCTAAAGGCGGTTTACCGGTAATGCGAAACAAACAAAGCATTATCCTTAGCCTCAGACCATTATGTTATATGGATCTGTTTCTTTATAGACCTCTTAATAAAATACCAGTACTTAGCATTTAGCAAGTGAAGCTACCAGCTAAAATTTTGAATTATAATTCATCAAATGAATACAAAATAGTGACGAGGCCCACGTGGCAACAGAAGGAAGAAAATTAAATGAATCTAACCATGGGATTAATTTACATGTCCCCAACATCTGCTTGGAAATTATTTAAGTCTATCAGAAGAGATGACAACATGGATTTACTTACTCATTTTGGCAAAGGCTGCGTTAACAATACACTGTATGAACACCAGAGACTGGACATATCTGAACTTGTCTTTATCCTCTCCATATGTTCCTCTTGTTCTGAAGAAAAAAAGAAGAAAACGTATGTAACTCAACTCTACAAGGATATCTGATATCCATGTATCCATAGTAGATATCATCCAAATATCAAAGATCATAGTTTTTAATTTTTTTTTCAAATCACATCTTACAGAAAACAAATAGGCTACTATCCTACACCCACAGCATGAAAATAATTTTTGATTTGAAAGAAAAACTACCACATGTTATCATATAATTTTCTCTTTTACTGTTTCCTGTTGTTTTGTTTCCCCTACGGTGCCCACATAATTTGTAAATTTTTTAATGTGTCTTTAGGTCATCAAATTAGGAGCCCGAGACAAATCGTAAAGAAGTTGTTGCATTTAAAGAAAAATCACCTAAAACTACATGTATATCTTCACAACATAACATTACTGCATGCCCCCCTCCCCATACCGAACCGGAACACAAATAAACACACACATGGCGTACTTCTATCATTTCCCTACACAAAAACACGGTGGTTTTTTCCGTCCATATCGAACTCACATCTTCTCCTGGATGATTCCGTAGTAGAAATAGCAGGTAAAGATGCCGAAGAAGCAGGTAAGGAGCCTCGTCCGTTCGCTAAGCCGGTTCCACAGCCCCTCCATGCCGCCGTTCGCTGGTACTGATGACGTGCCCGCCTGTGATTGACCCCCGGTCTCCACGTCTTGCTTTGTCAGACCCAGCGGTTGCTGGTTCGAATCCGGTAACGTCATACCCTCCAGGGGCAGGTCTTCCCTTTTACCGGTGTTACTGGCGCTGTCGGGAACTGAATTCATTTGCGCAGCTGTTCGGCCGCCTTTCATAAATTAGCACCAATGAGTTATGATCTGGACGATTTCACTGTAAAGTAGGGGGTTTCTCTAAATGTCTGGTGCCATTTAACTGTAGAAAAAAACAAAGACGCACACAAATACTAGTTTTACAAATTCTGTAAATAGAGAAACACGAAGTATAGCAAAGTGCATCAATTGTGATGCTTACAAAGGTATTACGCTTATATTTACCGCAGGCAATTTATCCCAAGAACCCTATTTCCTAATGGACCCTTCCAATATAACAAGTGCACCCAAGACTCATTGTGTTACGGGCTGAACAGACCGCCACGACAGCCGTTTTGATTGGTTGAAAGATAATGACACGAGTCGGAGATTTGTTGGGATACTAGTACACGTATAATGACACGTTTCGTTACAGTATCGTAAGCCTTTTCTCCCTTTAGAATACAACAAGTGTTGAAATGGACTTTGGAATCCCAGGTCGGTAAAGCCTAAGGGACTGTACGATATTTACCGGGGGGGGAGGGCTGGTGCAAAATGGTCCGGTAAAAATTTTTTCCATGGCCCTCCCCCCGGCTCAAAATTTTTTTCAATGGCCCTCCCCCCGGCTCAAAATTTTTTTCAATGGCCCTCCCCCCAGCCCAAAAAATTTTTCGGTGGCCCTCCCCCCCATTTTTCAAGTCCATGTCTCTTTCTCCCTGCGTAAATTCCCGAATGAAGTACGCATCCCGATTAAAGTACGCACCCCCGGTTTGGGGCTGGTGGGAGACAAATATTCCCGTCTGAAACGTAAAATGGAAAAACTCGAATTAAGTACGCACCCCTTATACACACGGCCGGTACCACAGTGAACATGTAGTATGTACAGTTCGTCGTTCCAAACAAATTTAAAATTGTTAAAAACTAGATTTATGCCGTGTACTACGTGATGGTATGGTAACGTAGCGGGAAACGTTTCAAGTTCGGGCTTGTTTTTCACCGCCAGCCGCAGCCGACTTGCAAGACGTCACCACCGCATCGAAAGGTAAGGCAAGTGCGGCGAAACGCACAGATTTGGTTTCAGCTTTGGAGTGTTGGTGATCAAGCAAGCAATGGTCAATAAAGATTCGTGAAAAAAAGACAATATTTCAATATTGATTTTATCGGTAACGGGGGGTAGTTGAATGTTGATGCACAAGTACGTAGCTTTAATATTTTTAATACGAAATGCACCGAACGCATCTTTAATAGCGCCCGCGCGATCGACCCATGGAGAGCAACAATCATACAGGCGGAGAACTGGGCGGAGTATTTGGGTGTAGAGGTGCTACCGAATTTAAAATTTGACACCGAAACCAATTAACACAACAACAGAAGACTACTGGGATCAATGGGACTTGCGATTCCGAACAGGAGAAAGTGACAAGTTTGACTGCGTTTCAAGTAATCTCCCGTTATGTGATAGATATTTTTGTCACAAAATCAAAGGAATAAACACATGTATTAATTTGTACTCCGTAAAATTTATAAGTACAGTCTGTTCAGAGGAAAGAAAGACTTCCTTCTCGGGGTCCATGTTCTGGAAAGATGTCCTCAGCGCTGCGCATGCCACGGCCCTCTCTGTGATCTTCAGCTGTAGGTGTACTTTGCCTGTCGGCGCGCCAAACACCCCACCCACCGGCCGGGCGGTAAGATTTCATCAAAGACTACATTTTAAGTTAACTCCGCCCCTATCATTGTAGCTTGCCGAACAGTCGAGTAGGAGTACATCTAGCTGGTAATTTTCACGTCGTACTGGCTGGTGTAGCCCGCTACAAAGTAATTTCCTGTGGCATTTATCAAGATTTAAAAATATTTGTGATACGAAGTGAAACATGGTTAACAATTTCTGAACCTTTGAAACGACATGGGCATAATTTTTGTTGAAGATTGCTGAGTTGAATTCAAGCCGGAAGTGTATTGGAAATGATGACCGTCAGTCGAGGCACAACTGTTATGTTATCACATGTTACGTTACGACGATCAAGAACGTTCACGGCTTGCGGACCATTTCAAATATTACTCATAAACCCTACAATTGTATGTGTACTTACGGGAGGTTATATTTTTGCCGGGGTTCCACTGAGATCGGCGCCGGCTAGCTGGGGAACGATCCTGTCGGCATGACAAAGCGCCGGGCGTCATTGCCAGAGACCTACATTTTCTTACCGTGGGTGACTTGACTTCTTCTTTTTACCGCAACTTGTTGTCAATATCGACGATAGTCACAGGAAATATGTTCATTTATTGAAGTTTAACTTTATTTCCACTCGTCAATATTCTTATCTAAACATGGTATGGACGATCAATGTGCCAAGCTCCCCGTGCCGGTGTTCCGCTATATTCCTGGGTCGTCCACGGATTTGTCGGCGGAAAACTCAAATAAAGTACGCACCGCGACTTTGGCGACGGCCCGCG